GTGCCACTGGTGTTGGCGGGCGTCTCTTTGGATTGCTTCTTCAAGGGTGTCAGAAACTGTTTACCAGACTGAGACCAGCACTTTAGGCCAAAACTCCACTAGGGTTTTGATGCTGTGGCTGTGTTGCTGGGCTCAGTCTGTTACAGTTCCCTCCCTCCATATTTACTCAGCTCCAGCAGGGAATCAGCTAGTTGGTGATTTTGCTCTGGTCACTAGGTGGCACCAGAGATCTGTACTTGCCAACCTGTGCTTTTCCCCATAGTTCTCTGAGAAACTGGGTGGGGCTGGGGTAGGAGAGCACCTCAACACAGGGGCGGATTGCTCACGCTGGAAGCTGTGTCTGCCCCATGTTCACCTGTTGCTGTGCCCTGAATTCTGCACTCTAATTCTCAATCCCAGGGTCTCAGATCCAAAACACCAGCTGTCACTCTGTGCAGTGCCCACTGTTACGGCAAATCCCATGCCCCAGATCTTATGCCTGGCTCTCAGTTCCAGAATGGGGTCTTGCTCCATGCCTTGTTTCCATTCTTACCCCTGTTTGTATGGCCTGCCCTCTCTCAGAGCCGGAGGGGGGTTTTGGAAACCCTGGCTTCCGACTACTAGGAAGTGGGTGATTTTGTTCTGTTCATTAGGTGGCAGCAGAGATCTTTCCTAGTATCCTTCCAGAACTGTGCTTTTGCCCTGTGGGTCTCCTGGCGAACTGAGTGGGGGTGGCGTGGAATGCCTCAACGGTGTGGGGGTGCTGTGTATGCCCTGTGCCGCGTGGTGTGGGGATCCCCCCCGCCCTGAATTTCACTCTCGGTTTTCAGCTCTGAAGCCCTCAGATCTGGGGCGCCGCGGTAGCCCAGTTCAGTGTTGGCAGAAATGGCGCCTTTTGCACCCTGCTCCAGTGCCCAGGCGCCTGGTTTTTGATAACCCAGTGAGGGTCATTCACCTCAGTGCCGGCTCCCTCGCATCTCCCACAAACCTAGGTCCCAGGGATCTGGGCAGCCACGATCCGCGTATGCTTTTCCAGCGCGGGTGCGCTTTTCCGCGCAAGTTTACTGCCTGGCCTTTGGCTATTTGCAGGTCTCTCTGCGGAGTCCTTTTCTTCCTCCAGTGGCGCCAGGAGCCATTCACTCACCTCCTTGGCGGTTCCCGCAGGATTCTCCATAGTTCCCGGTCTTGGTTGTTGTGCCTGCAGTAGTTCCTTTCCACTCACTGTCCCACTTGATCTCTAGTTTGCTCTTGTTTTTTGTTGGTTTTTTTTTTTTTTTTCTCCTTCTTATTGGTCGGAGAGTGCCGGCTTTGTGGGTGGCGGAGGGTAGCAAGGTTCTGAGCTTTCCTCTCTTCTCGTCCTCTTTTATTGTAACTTTCCTCTTTGCGCAGTTTGCCAGAGTCGCCCATTTATCTTCCGTGTCCCGGTTCTCCCAGGGACCTGCCGCTTTTCCTCCCTATTAACCGGTTTTATGGGAGAAACTACTGGTAGCGTTTCTCCACCACCATGTTGATCCTCTCTCCCCTTATAAATTCTATCTTTAGACAACATCTTAACGAAAACTTCTAATTTGAAAACTGTCAATACATAGAAATCAAGGTGGTTTCAAAGAAATAATCCTTGAAATAGGAATTGATAGAATATAGACATTTTTGAAAAAGGTATACTGACAGAATTATCCTTATAATGTTAAAACTGATTAATATTTACTTTTTTCAGAGTGCTTTTCAAAGGATTTATTTTTTTAAGTTCTTAAATGTTATGAGGTATTAGTGATATGGATAAAGAAACTGAGGCAAAGAGAATATTACGTGACTTGTTCAAGTTCTGAAAGCATTGCCACAGTTGAGATGCAAATGTTATGCCATTTTTCATCCTCGTAGACATAAAATATGATTGGTCTCACTTGGAAGAATTTTCAGTAGGCACGGCTGTTGAAATCTGAATGATGTTAGTCTTATTTTTGCCTTTTTAGATTTGAATTTGAAGGAAATCAGGAGGGAGAAATTACTGGCTTCAATTTTTAAAGAGATGTTTTCTGGAAATTCAGTAGCAGAATTTTTGATTTTTAGAATTAGAGGCCAGAAATGTTTCTTCAATGTTAGGATCATGCTGGTATGTACATTTTTATGTACTTCCATTATCCATTTTGGCCATTATTTTGGTAGGGTGCTAAGGTCAAGGCCTTAAATGGTATTCTTAGTGTGAACTTTATGTAGCGCATTGTCGTGGATTCTTAAATATTATTCAATGTCATTACAGATTTTGTCCATGATAGAAGAAGCGGCTGGAACCAGGATGTATGAAT